TGGGGGATAAGTCTGGCCAAATGTACATCCGATAAAGGACTGGTATCCAAAACACACCATGAACTTGTCAAAATCAATTAGCTGATTTCCAAGCAGGCAAAAGCCCTTCGGCAGGATACCTGACACCAAATAAGCTAACAGAGACAAAAGCTGTCATGAAAAGGACCTTACAGAATATCGCTAGGGAACTGTGAACTGAAACAATGAGATACCAGGGCACCCCTAAGAACAGCCAGAACCAGACACCACCTAAGGCTGCAGAGAATGTGGAGCTGCAGAACTCAGTCACTGAGAAGCAAACAGAATGGTCAAAGAATCTGCATTTCTAAGATGCCCCCAGGAGCAGTTGGTCCCAAGCGACACTTTGAAAATTATCACTATACAGGAAAGTAAAGTCCTTTCTGGGGCTGGGGGCTAGCTCAGTCAGTAAAGCGTCTGCCTTTGGAGCAGTCCAGCAGTTTGTGTAGGATGGAACTAAGCAAGGCGTACCATAGGACCCAGCCACAAAGTGAGCAGGAGAGCCCAGGAGACTCCTAAGGCAGTGAAGTTCTTCTGATGCTGTCCATCTGTGACACTGTATTATGGCACGGGAAACAGCAGGCACAGTAATGCAGACTGTTAACAAGGTATAGGAGTTTGTTCATCAGTTTTAAGTGTGCCACACTAATAGAAGATGGTAAGTTAACTACAGGAAAGGAGATGGCCACTTCATTCTCTGGTACATTTTCCTACAACCCCAAAATGCTCTTGAAAGTCTGTGAGTGCACACTAAGTAAACTGATCCTTTTGCTGACCTGATTTACAGTTATGGGTGAAAAATGGTCCTGAGGATTGGCCTTCTTTTGGCAAAGAATTTTGATAAACAAAAATAAATTAGAATTCTTTAAATAGATTGCTTCCAAATGCCATCTCCTTTGCCCACTGACAGTCTGCTCTCGGGCAGGTTTTGTAACCTGACTTGTTTGGCATATAAAACAAATATTCCCAACTTTCTCACAGGTTAGCTGAACTGCTGAATAAGCACAGAACCCCAAAAGGGTATCCATTGTAGCTAAACAGCATTCTTGTTTTCTCCAAAATTCTATTTCCACTAAAGTAGATAGTCAGCCCTCCTCCATACCCATGGACCCAAGGCTTCGGAATGAAAACTCTAAGGGGCAAAACTGTCTTACTGCACATGTGCAGTCTTGTCTTGTTGCTCCTAAGTATGGATGAATTATTCGGCACCAACAGTGTGCCATGTATCAGCCAATCTAGAGATGATCTCGAGCACACGGGAAGATGTGGGTGGATACACCCACACTTCATTGTTTTATGAAAGGCACTTGACCATCTGTGGATGCTGAGAGCAGTAAGTGCCTCGTGTCTTCCTGCAGGTCATTTTTGTGTTCTGGTGGGGAAACAACTCTAACTGGTAACTACAAACACTGTTAAGCTCCAACGATGCTGCTCTGTGGAGTCGCTGTGCTCCAGTTCAACATGCAGCACAGGTCGGTATGTGCACGACTGCATTTTCATTAGCGCTCAGGCTTCCACGTCTACTCCTTCACCATCTTCAGCGGCTTGGTGCATTCCCCAAACTGTTCCAATGAAGCGCTACTGCTTATTTCTAATTCTGCTACTAAACACAAGTTCATCTTCTTCTCAATGCCAGTGATGTAACAACAGTTTGGCTCCAAAAAGTCTGATTACCCTTAAATCTGCAAGGACACCCTGAAAAGTAACATTTTATATTATACAGGCCATTTAATACATAATTCAGTTATTTATGCCAGAACTAAGCAAGTAATCCAAAAACACCTTAAATGGACATTATATGTTTTAATCTTATTTTCCAAGGTCTTACCTATGAACTTTCTTCTTTTACTTATAGTCTTTTGACTACTGACCTGATTTTTACAAACAAAATAATTTCTTTGTTCATCACTATAAACATTATCTGCTTAGGGCAATCTTAGCTAATGAAATTAAGTGTCTTGGATAAACACACCAGGGCAAAGTGATACTAGGATCCTGTGGACAAGCAAGGTCAGGTTTTAAAAGCCAGACACATCTATACTGTGCTGGGTCAATGTTACACACTCAGAAACAAAAGAAAAATGAAACATTTCAGAAAAGCATGTTCAGAAAATCTACTCAGTCTTTAAGCCTCTCAAAGACGTGCTTCATGAACAGGGCTATGGGATGCTTAGTCTAGTAGAATGAGACTCAGAACCGACAGGGAAACTACTAGACATCTTGAAGACTGTCAGGTATGAAAAGGATCACACTTGTTTTGTCATCCAAGAGTAGGCCCAGTAAGACCTGGTAACATGATACATCTGTCCCAGCTGCAGCTGAATCTTCCACATATTTATTATTTATGAATAGTGTGGAATTAGAAATGCTACACTGTTTCTATGTATCAATCAAGATGCATGTAAAGGGGTGATAAATTGGTCAATTTTAAAAAACATAGGAGAAAAAAAATTCTCAGTCAAGTTCTTTCCAGAACTATCCTAAACTCAGAACCAGCTATCTCAAGAAATGGTGTCCAATTTATATCAGCAATTATTCTGTTTTACACTAAAAAGTAGATTAAATTAAAAGTTCTTTTAAGTAGAAGCAAAATGTCAACAAGTTGGAGTTCAGAAAGCAACTCAAATACAAATAAGATCATGTTGTTTTCTACAGTACCTCATGAGTCAATGACACTGGCGACCTTGAGAAAAAGTTCTAACCCGTTTTCCCATCTCATCCATAGTCGAGAGTTAACTTCTCTCAGATGTACTAAGTACTGTACGAATATTCAAATTCTTGAACCTAATTAACTGTCCTTAAAGAAGGTAACAGTATTAACTTTCTTCTTTCAGTTACTTCTATATACTTGATAGTATTTCTTAATCTTGGAAATAAAGGATTCCCAAGTTACTTTAAGTGTGTATTTGTAAAACTTGTTAATTTATCAAACTAAAATAAAGATTTAGTATTTTCCTGAACCCTAAGTGTGAAGCAACAGAAACAGGACAACACAGGCAAAGTGAAGCCAGGCAATAACCAAGGAACACCGAAACGCCCATGCCAGGTGTGGTACCTTCCTAGTCCTCACAGGCTGCAAAATATCACATTAAAAAAGGCCAGGCCCAGTGAAACACACCTGTAATGTACTCAGAAGGCTGAGGCAGGAGGATCACTAGTTGAGGACAGCCTCTGTCTCAAATCAAACCCACTACACTAAGTATGGATCATAGTCACTAAGACAGGAAGGGCAGAAGTTGGCACCTTAGAATATTGGAGGATACCTGAACATAGAAGAGGGTACAATGTCTGTGGGTCTATTTCTAAATAAACCTCACACATGGAAAGCCGAAGCTGAGGCTTGTCTGTTTCTGCACTCTCTGGGAAAGTTGTTTTCCTACCTCTTTACCTGTCTGCAGAGCAGCCAGCCTGGTAGAGTTTACATCATCAGCAGCCACTGAACTGACCAACCACATTCTGAATGTTCCTCTACCTGCACCATGCCTTACCTCTTTCTTGTGCAGAGAATCCCTTTGATCAGAATTTCTGAAACTCCAATGCACACTTCAAAGTTCTGTAGAATTTTTACCATAACAACCTAATTTGCCTTAGATGTATAAACTAGTGGAAAAACTCCAGGGCACCTGTGTGACCACTTTGAAACATGAATTTTTCACATTTAGAACCGAATTAATAGGAAATCTTCTTCACAAGTAACAAAAATAACTGAATGAAAACAGACCTTGCTTGGGACATCCAAGCACGGACACTCTGCTCACCAAAGCAGAGGAAAATGAGATGCACACGTATGCACTAAGTTTAAAAGTCCACAGTCACTGCCTTGTGACTTTCTGTAGGAAAGCAGCTCTCCAAAGAGCTGCCCCCTCCAAAGAATGAAAAAGAAAAACCAATTTTTATTTCATCAGAAAAGAAAAAAAAGAATGAAAACATGCTCGCACCACAGCTGTGCTAGGCAGTGGTGAAGTCATGACCCACGCCTGACTCCTGAAGATAATGGTAAAGAACGTTCCCACTTCGCAGTGTTTTCTTTGAAGGCTAATGATAGTGTAGGAAGATCTCATGCAAAAGCAGCATGTGCAGCTCTTATTTCACCACTGTCTCCGCAACAGTTTTGAAATTTCCAATGCATGTAGAAAAGCGTGTGTAGAGGAAACACAGCCTTCCACTGAAACAGGACTGTGAACCTTTCAACAATTTGACTCTAACATTAGGAATTTTGTACTTTAGTAGAAACCTTAACTCAACTTTTCCAAACTTACCAGGTGGGCAAAACCAAAAAATCTTGGCTTCATTTCCCCTGCCCCAATGTAGTAGCTATTTCAAATTAAAATTTCCATTTATAACACTCATTTTGTTCAGAGTATCATTTCCTCAGGAAGCCAGATCCAAGTCCCAGGTTGTCAAGCCTCGAGCTTTATTTCTTGTGTGGGACTGACTCCTTCTTATGTGACTTTAAAGTCTGGAGTCCACTTTCTGAACGTCTCCTTCTTCTAACAGACCCTGCACGAGAAGGGGAGACTGTTCTAGTGGCCACCTTCAGGTGAGTGAATGGATATGGTTACGAAGACAAGATCATCCATGCTGTCTGCACACGGTTACAGCAACAGACTCTAAAGTCAGGTTCAGCTATCTGTTCAAGCTGAACATGAAACAAAAACACCTTTCTTGGTAATGACTCATGACCTGGATAGTTCTCCAATCGGCCTTCATTTTCAAATGGGTTCTGCTTTGAGCAGAGGTACTATTTATGTATGCTATTTGGTAAGGGTTAATATTTTGATCAATCTAACCTTAAAATCTGACCAAACTACTCCTATTATTTACCATACAGACCTCTAGAATTTTAACGAGAGAAATTTTTTTTCAAAAAAGACAATATAATCAGAAATACTTAGCAAAAGACACTTTAAATTACACTTAAAAACATGGTTGCAATTTTCACTTTCTATTCCTGAAACAAAAATCAGCCATTTATCAGTAAATGCATTTTTCCATGGAGAAAATATTTATTAGTTTTCAAATGATCACATAATACAAATATTACACAATTAATCATTCTAGAAAAGGAATAACTTATATTAATATTTATAAAATAAACACGGAAATGATATAGAATTGCATATTGTGACACGAAATTGTTCGGTAAAACTCTGAAAGGAAATGCATCAAAATTAAAAGTGGAAACAAATCAGTACACAGTAATATACACAGTTTCACTTTGAAAGAGCTCGCAGTGCAGGAGGTAATGCAAACGCACTGACATTTCTTTTGCATACTTTAAGAACATAGCTGAGATTAATTAAAGCTTGAGATTCTGAGGTTAAATCACTTTCTGTCTTCAGTGCTGAGACAAAAGGCTAGTGACCTCAGGCCATAAAATGGTTTCTACAGTGGTTTAAAGAATGCAACTACATTTCTAGGCAAACCTCACTGTCAGCTCCCTGAGTTCTTACTAAAATGTTACGTAATTTGGTTTTTGTTTATATGTATTTATGAAATATCTTATTAAGTCAGGAATACAAAACTGTAATTCTATGGGAATTCAGAGTTCTGTGAGGAAATTTTCCATTCAAAATTATCTTTAACAAATTTACTTTTAAGCATTATACTTTTGAAAAATGATTTATAATTTATAAGAAAAAAATAGTTTTTATAGCCAAAATAGACAAAAAGCAGATATTTTAGCAGATGTAGCTTTTAAACTTTGAGAGCCTAACATTTCAGTTGGCTCTTATATTATTAATTCTACAATTTCTCTTCTTAAAACTTATTCCAAATTAAAAGGAACTGGCAGCATCAGGTGACTGTTACAGTTTCCTTAGTAGTTTTGACTGGTTTCTAGAGAGTTACTAGATAACCAAAGAAACAAACATTTTGATAGCTGATTTGGATAACTACATTTCCTTCACACCTGCAAGTTCACTGACTCTTTGCATTACCTCAGTTCCATACCAACTGCTCTGCATCACTCAAATGGAGATGCCTTCAGTGCAGAGGAAACCCTAGGAGGCATTTACTACTTAGAAAAACAGACCTGACTCCACGGGTCTCTGAGACAGTTCTACGACTTTGTTGATATGATAAACTACACGGAAGAATAAGGCTCAGGACCAGCATGAGATGAGCTAAGAGTACATCCTAACATGAACAGACTCTTGAAGAGTCGGGTTCACCCTTTATTTGCTAGTGCCCTTTAGCACTGGGTAACAAAAGAAGAGGTAGAGGGGGTTCATCAAGCTTTTTCTATTTTTAAAGTGACAGTTGTCTACTTGATTAAAATGGTTTTCAGTCCCACAAATCTTTTAAGTGAAACAGATACAGAGAGCTGCTTTGAAAGACAAGACTCTCAAGCTTTCTCTATTTCAGTCTTCAGAATAATAAATATTTTCAGGCCATATAAAACTCCAATATGAAAAGATTATTTCATTATTTGAGCCTTTCCATTTTCAGACCAAAAATAAACCAGAGTAAATCTTTAAAAGTTTGTAAATAACAAGATCAGGTGCTGGCTCATCCTTGTGTCTTCTAGACATACTGCATGGATCCATTCACCACTGCCTTCCAAACTGCAGGTGCTGGCATGTGTGACAGATATCATCCATGAGGGCTCTGCTAGAAGAGTTCCTTTTGCTGAAGAGGTATGATGTTTTACCAGTTGAAAGAAATCTGGGCAATTAGAGAACAAATAAACCGGTCTCCCATTATCAAGATACCTGGAGTCACAGAAGGAAGCCACCAAGGAAACAATGAAAACTTGCCAACGCACCAACTTCACATTCTACCCACTGTAGATGGTAAGAACTGCCTGGACTCACACCCTACCCTTGGCATCAAAGAAACTAAGAAAGAACCATCTTAATGCCCTAGGAGAAATCTAGTCATTCCTAGGGACTAGAAAACTACTTTTGAGTGTATTAAATGTAACTTTCAGAAAACTACTTTTGAGTGTATTAAATGTAACTTTCAGGGGCACTAAATCCTGAAACTTATACTCATTCTATTTAAGAATGAAGCCTACGTTTAACAGTAAAGCGCAACAGTACTATCGTCATTCCATCTCCTAAGAGACTGAGTGTGAAGGCCTAACATTTACGGGAGGAAAAGACCCAGAAGTCCTCACTAACAGGGCAGGGTGGCACCTGGACATTCAACTGTATAAATTAAGAGATCTCAGATGTCCAGCTCACCCAAAGATGAAGCACAGGAATTTCAATTTCTGGACTCTAAAAGAACTCTATCCAGTCCACCGTTACAGTAAAGGCCAAAGCGGGAAATGACTGCCTTTCTTAAATTCCTGTGAACTATAGACATGGACCAAACCATGTGTATGCCCCAGACTAGCCACACCTTTAATATCTGGAGAGAAATGAAATAACTTTTAGTTTGTTTCTGAATGGGCACTAGATAGTACTCTGAGAAACACCGAGGTCACAGTCCCGCCTGGTTCTTGTAAGAAGCCAAGGAGATTAGCAACAGAATAAATGGACAATGGCAGGACACTCCACTCTAAGCAAACCCAAGTAAACAATGGAAAGCACCCACTTGTTTCTTATCCTTTCCCACTCTCTCCAGAGGCTGGATATTCTGTCTCCAAGGGTTCAGTGGAGAAAGTGGCCCCTGACGTCAAAAGCCTCCGTGGTCTTGGCTGTATCTGTGGCTCTAGGATCACTCCTTTCACCTCTGGTAGGAGAGAAGCACTGAAATAGAGCTGAATATAGATTTAAGAAAAAATTCTTATTAAAAAATTACATACTCTGGTCATTTGAGTTTGTAATGGCTTATCCTCAGGACAAAAAGGAGCTACGTTGGGATAAACATTCTTGGGACAAACATTCTTGAGTACCATCTTAATTCGAATTTTAGAAGTCTGTTACCACAAATGATTAATTCCTTAGTAGCTATTAAGGGACCTGTACTGGTCTAAGCCATAACATACTCTGTGACAAACCACTCAACTTCAAATAAAGATCGAAGCAAAAAAATCATATCTATGATGGGAAACAAGATCATAGTTGTCTTAAAGGGACAGGGAGAAGGTATTCAACCTCAGATACATCAAAAGAGCCAGTTAATTCTTCCATCAAAGAGAAGAAGATGGATTGGAAAGCAGAAACAGAGTATCACAGTAACAGAATACTACACACTTCAGGAATATCTACAGTGCTCGAGTTAACAGTTTCAATTCCAGTAATTTAGAGAGAATTGATCCACACTACAGGCCAATATTATGGCCAAAAAAGGTTAAATTTGATTTGTTTTAACAAAGCTCTGACTAACGTCAATGAAAAAGGCGGCTTCTTCAAGCATTTGTCTTTGAAACTGGAGGGCAGGATAATGCTCATAGGTAATAGATATTTAAAATTTTTAAATGCATGATCATTTTGTTTGGAGCCAAGAGGGACCAGGAATAATCATTAGTGGTCACAATGTAGAAATTAAGGCATCAAAGTATACCAAACATCGGATGGTGCTAGAGACCCTGGCCAATAGCTTTCCTGTAGGACAGAAGCTCAAAGCTCACAACATCTGATCAAGGAAAAGCTGAAAGGAGAAGCAGAGAGGCAGGTGTGTACTTAAAGTCACAGGGACTAACAGTACTGCCTCGGGGGAAATGACCAATTCTCTTCGTGGTACGGAGTTCCTGTTAAACCTGAAGATCTTCCACTAACTATAAAGGTGCGGTGTGGCCCTGCTCCTGATCAGTCAGCCATGGTGTCCTGTTTCTGGGACATGGTATATTTTGGGTAAATGAAGGTGGGAACTCTACCAAGTTATTTCTCTCTCACACCAACTGGTTATCACAAGGGTTCCTTACCTGTTAGTGGAGCGAGGGCTGCGCTCTCCCGCTCTCTAGCAAACCAACAAGGGTTAGGGTCTCGGCATTAAGGAGGTGGTAACCAACAGTTAGTGTCTACTGCCTTCGCTTTCTCTCCTGGCTCTGCAGCCAGTTGGGAAACATACCAAAGCTGAAAAGGAATGGTTACTCCATTATCTGACAACATTTAGACTGAATCTGAAATGCCTGAAGATGAAGAGAAAGCTGAACCCTTCTACCTAGGAACATATCCAACTCTTGTACAAATGATAAACAGAAACAATCTGGCCCTAGAAAAGGAATCCTGTGATGAATTTAACCACCCAACCTATAATTTCCCAAAGTTAAAAGAAATGAAAAAAATTGAAAGTGACAGAGGAGGAGGAGGTGGAATTGCCACCTAGGAAAGACGTATGGGATAAATAACCACAGAGAACTTCATGAGCGACACTGGGTCCTGACTTGCGTTCCCAATAGACTGGATTAGACCAGTGTGTTCTAACAGTGCTGTCCAGTGTGACTACAGTGTGGAGGTACAGCGGGTATAACAGGATAGAAGTGCAAGTCAGAACCAAGACCTGAATGTGGAGTCCCTCAAGAAACGCACTCAGGGTTGGGCAGCTTTTAGAAGAAGTGTCCCCCCCACAGCTGGCATTCTTCCTCGTAACTACCATGAGAGCATCGTATCAGAGAGCTGCCTCCACCTCCTTCTACCCCTGCAATGCAAGGAAACGCTACAGAGACACTGCAAAAATCACCCACCAATAACCCTCTAATTTCTCTAACCAATTTCATTAGCAAACCCTTCCTTTTGTGATAATGTTTCAATATAAATCACTGATTATATAAGAAGCCTACATTAATGAAATCTAAGTAAAATTTAACTCTAATAATCAAGGCAGTTTTAAAAAGTCTATTTGGAAATCATGAAGGCTGAAATAGTTCCGAGCCCCTCCCCCACCCAATTGTCAAATAGTAACCAATCGTAACACACAGCTGGGTGAAAACTGGAACAGGGTGAAGGGCCATTTTGAACAAACACACCTGACTATCTTTTTCAGTTTAGAATCAACTTGCTCATCTTAACATTAGGTTAAGTTTACAACTTCAACAGGAACTTTAAGCTAACCACCTCCAGACCCTTTATGTAGTTTTTGCACCTTCCAGAATACATGTAAAAGCACGGCCATCTTAGCTTCAAAACAACAGAAACCACAGGAAAGAAAACCCTAAAACCTTTACGTTAGGTTACAAAGCAAGGCCAGTATGACTTGGCTCAAGAAATCAGGAATCTATAAACTTCCCAAAGTCAGATTTCATTCAGAAGACTTCTGTATTCTGCCTGTAGTACTACAGCATGCTCTTAGTCAGCAATGAGGAAACACAGATTTTGCTAAATAAAAATTACTTTGTAATCATTCAAGGGACCTGGTGTTCTTTGTGCTACAAGTTAAAAGTTTGGATTTAATGATTTTATACAGAAAATGTACAATTTCAAAATGAGGTCATGAGTTAAAAACATCGATGATGCAGCTCATCAGAACACTCTGTCACACTTTGTCACATTCTGCTTGCCCCAACAGCACTCCTCTCTGACAGCGTTTTTTTAACTGCCCAAATGCTGTGACCCTTTAATACAGCCCCTAATGGTGTAGTGACCCCCAGCCATACCATTTTTCATTGCTACTTCACAACTGTAATTTTGCTATTGTAATGAATCGTAATGTAAAATACCTGATACGAAGGATATCTGATATGTGGCCCCAGTGAAAGGGTTGTTCGACCCCAAAGGGGTATCAACCCACAGGTTGAGAACCACAGCCCTATATGATGTTTCAAAGGGGAAAAAGGAAGTGTTCTGCAAGAATAAAATGTAACCACTAGAGACTAAATTTCCAACCAAAGGTAACAAGATGTGCACTGCTATGATGTGATGTTACTGAAAAAGGGAGTGAGAGACCTATCTACTAGGTTAAGAGTCATCAGTGTTCTCTGTAACTGTCTACATTTCTAAAGACTCTTACAAAAAATACGCTACAGTCAAATCAAGAAGAAATGCTAAGTATTATTTATATATACTTAGCATTATATGCATTCAAACATACCACTGAGAAAGAGAAATTCCGCTGAAATGTCTATCAAATGAGGTTATTTGTGAAATTTGCCCTCGTTACTAAATTATTAAATGAAGAGGCTATATGGCTTATTAGTTCTAAACATTTCTATATCTAGTTATTTTTAAAACAGTGAACTACAGTAACATGATTTTTGTTGTTGTTTTTGAGCTAGGGTCTCACATAGGCCAGGATGGCCTTGATCTTCCTACCTCTGTCTCCCTAGTGCTAGGACCACATACAGTCCTCACCAGTCCAGGATCGCTGACCTAAATTTAAACCTGCTGCTCACAAACAGATATTATAAATGAGTTGGTAACCTGCCTTACCGACTTTCTATCACTGATTCTTACTGGTTCAAAAGAACTTCTATTAGAAAATGAACTTCCCACAGATCCCTCTGTCCACTTGACAAACAGTTCTGGTTAGCATTATCTTTGTAATCATTCAAGGGACCTGGCATTATCTTTGTCTCTCCAGCCCCCAGAATAGTGTATGGCACTCTGAATAGGTAATTCAGTAGATGTTTTCCAAATGAAGCACGCTGATCAAGAAACAGTAAGTAAGAAAGTAAGAACTGTGCTTCCTGTCTAACATACAGGTAAACAATACATAATTCAACTTTATTCTGAAGGAAACAACTTTATCCAAAGGGTTAGAGTTGAGACAGGAAGAGACCAGAGTGGCTACCTACCAAGCGCCACGCCAGTCATGGCTAAACAGACCCTCAACTCAAAACAAACCATCACCAAACAACAAAACACCTAACAAAATCCCATTTTAAACAGACTTTCTCATACTTTTGAAAAAGTTACCATTCAAAATGTTACTGGGACTCAAGTCACCCCACCAGATGTAAATAACAAGTTTTGTTAAAAGGAAAGAGATAACTAACCAAATATGTCTTCACGTCCACTAAGGCATAGGATAAAGTAAAACAGGCGAAATAAACAATCCAGAACACAAGATATAATAAAGCAGCCAACCTTACTACAGAATGAAAGGCAAAAAGCAATCATAAAATATATGTTAAGTTCTATCAACCAAGAGTAAAAGGCAATGTCCAAGGAAAGACAAAACACCAAAGTCCTTCAATTTGTCTGACTCTTTTAAACGAAAAAGAATTATTTCCAGGCAGTGGTAGAGCATGCCTTTGATCCCAGCACTTGGAAGAGGCAGGAAGATCCCTGTAAGTTCAAAGCCAGCCTGGTCTACAAAGTGAATTCCAGGCCAGCCAAGGCTATAACACAGAGAAACAGTGTCTCAAAAAACCAAAAACATAAAACCAATAAAAATTGACTATTTGACCCACCCAAGTTAATGAAAGTCATTTCAGGTCTCAAGTCACTCAACTGCAATGTTTGTAATTAGCCTACCTCTTCCCTCTCCAATAGTTCCTATGCCTGCTTGTTTTCTTAGTATAAATTATTGGCTTTGTTCTGAGGATGTCAGGACACTCGAAAATATATGTTACTTTAAGATAAAACACCTCTTCTACTATATTTTTTTTATCCTAGGAGCCCGAGTTGTACACTATATGAATACACTCAGAAAAAGTGAAAAAAGACAACAGGTAATAGTCTTGTTTCATTAATTACATTTACATCAATTCCTTTAGTAGCTTTATCCATTTATGGCAAAAACTGCCATTAGTCAACAACAACAAAAGATGAAGAAGAAAACTTAAAACGCCGTGATGCAGCAAGGATGCCAAAGGCACTAAAAGGAAAACACACAAGTCCAAGACACAGAACACTTAATGCGGCCTCGGGTCTTCACCTCAACAACACAAAGAGAAAAACAAAAACCTCCTTGATCGACCATCAAGCCAACTCCAGCAGGGAAGCGAACGGAGGGCAGGCATGCACCGCCCGATCCTGGCACCGGGAAGGGCACACCAGCACTCCTCCTGTCCCCACCTGCTCCTAGGCAAACACCAGGTGAACAGAGAGTGGCAGCTATTGAATGAGCTGCTTCACACCACTGCCAATGAGAGCCAACACGGACGAAGCACACCACGGAGACATGACCACCAAGAACCGCGTGCGACTCTAGACTGAATCCTTCAGAGACCAGAGTAAACACTATGTCCAAGTTCAAGGCCGGCTCACAGATCGCTTCTGATTTCCTAACCTCTAGATTTGGGTAAGGCTGTGTAAGATGGAAATACCAGGGAAAGCTGGATGGGAGTTTCTGAAAAGGCTGTGTACTTCTCACTCCTCTTGTTTCAAAACAAAAGGCTAAAATTAAAAAGAACAAAAACAAAGAATAAAACACAAAAGGTCCTGAATCAGTTTCTATACTCATGCAATTCTCACTGAAAATATCAATTTTTTTTCAGACAGAATATTTAGTCCATTATTTCTTCAAAAATTAAGCCGAATGGAAATAACAATAGTATGTCATTGTGAATAGTAAAAGTCCACAATAGCAAACTCAAGGAAACTAAGAAAGGTCATGTTTGCCTACTACTCGTCAAGACGGACTCCTACACAACATTCAGACTGCAACGCCCCCCACTAACTAAAAAACGCCCAACTTGATTTTCTGTATTTAAAATCCTAGTGGCTTACTAACTATTCCAAGCTTTCAGTTGTTTCTATTTTTCAAACACTTTGCAAAAAATTTTGATGCTAACAATTAATGTCTAAAAAGGAAAACGCTGCGGTAAAAAGAACATTACTATCGCCATCAAACCAACAACTCCGAAATAGGATTTGGGCCAGATGTGTTGGAGTACATCTTCAATACCAGCACTGGGAAGGCAAAGGCCAACCTCTGGGAGTTCTAGGCCAACCAGGGCTACATAGTGAAAAGCTGCATTTAAAAAAAAAAAAAAAAGGCAGTCAGGTGTGGTGGTGCACACCTTAATCCCAGCACTTGGGAGGCAGAGACAGTTGGATCTCTGAGTTTGAGGCCAGCCTGGTCTACAGAGTGAGTTCCAGCACAGCCAAGGAAGATTAGGTGTTCAAGGTCAGTCCTGGATACATGACAACCTGTCTGCAAAAATCAAAGCAAAATCAAGACAGACAGACCG